TTAAACATGGAAGTTCATTCAAGAGACCAATATACCTTAACGATCTATTTCGAAATTAAATAAAAATGGAAATTGAACGGAAATGGAAATTGAATAAAAATAGAAATGGAAACTGCATAAAAATAAACATGGAAGTTCATTCAAGAAACTACTAAACCTTAACATTCTAGTTGGAAATTAAATAAAAATAAATTGAATAGAAAAAGAAATTGAATAAAAATGGAAGTTGAATAAACATAAAAATGGAAGTTGCATAAAATTGAAAGTGGAAGTTAATTGAAGAAACCACAATACATTAACAATCTATTTGGAAATTAAATAAAAAAGAAATTGAATGAGCGAATGAAAACTCGATCGAGCGAAGAACTCAAACCCTCAGGTCTGTAACCAGACACACGCTCGAGCGAAGGAACTATCGCTCGAGCGAAGAACGAACTAACTCGCTCGAGCGAAGAAAATCTCGCTCGAGCCAAGAATGCACAGCTACAGGTCCAAATCAGACGCAACCTCTCGCTCGAGCTACCAAACCCCGGCTCGAGCGAAGAACCAAAAATAACAGCTCGCTCGGGCGACAAACTCCTCGCTCGAGCGAAGATCCAAAATTCTGGACAGCAACACTTGGTTTCTAAACCCAACCAACCTGAAATAAACCTGCCCAACACATCCTATAGGTCCAAATGAGAAAATAAGGGACAACAACAACAATTATACAATGACAGAATCTACGGAACCTAAGTCCAGATACAATAATCAAATGGGAGAAGACCGGGGTCGCTATATGGGGTATAACTAAAGAGCTCATGAGTCATAACTAAAATAATACCATAACTAAAAAATAAAATTAGTCATAACTAAAGAAGAAAACGGCATAACTAGGGATGCATATGGTATACCCATTTTAAAAGGGCGTATATTAGAATTTCCTTGGTCATTGACTTATTTGTTAAAAGTTATCAAAACACTTCTCTACTTTTTTACACATCTTTTCACAAAAAATAAAATAAGTCCCTAAATAAATTATACCCAAACCACCCCTTAATACTTCTTAAGGAACTGTTTGCTAGATGTATTCAGAGTTGATTTGAAAATAGATTATTTTAGTAATTTTTTAGATTTTTAGATAAAATAGGAGATGAAAAAGACTAGCATATTTAGGATACTTTTTATTTTATTTTATAGCTTTTTACAGAAAAAAATTGTAAAAAATAGAAAGAAAATGAAATTTTTACTTTTTTTAAAAAGAAGTCAAAATCTGTTTCTTATTTTTTCTACTTTTTATATAATTTTTTCATAAAAACTCAAAAAATCATCCATATATATTTTTTTCACCTCATATTTTAATTAAAAAAAATTCTAAAAAAACACTTCCCAAACCAACCTAACCGACCCATAATTACACTAATTTTTTAAATAAAATTAAAGGGCTTAAATGTAAACAAAAAATCATTAAAAAGAAGTCAAAATCTGTTTCTTATTTTTTCTACTTTTTATATACTTTTTTCATAAAAACTCAAAAAATCATCCATATATATTTTTTTCACCTCATATTTTAATTAAAAAAATTCTAAAAAACACTTCCCAAACCAACCTAACCGACCCATAATTACACTAATTTTTTAAATAAAATTAAAGGGCTTAAAACTTATGTAGACGGTGTAAAAATATAAAAATAAATAAAATAAAATATATATTTTGATATAAGTGAAATGACATAATTATTTATTTATTTATACCCAATATAATTATGTTAAATTGATTAGAGAAATGTATGAAGGTGTGGTGACTACTATTAGATTGCATGTTGGAGAGACAAATGAATTTTCAATTACTATAGGGTTACACCAAGAATCAACTTTGAGTCCTTATTTTTGTTTTAGTTATGGATGAGTTGGTGGGAAATTTTCAAGATAATATGCTATGGTGTATGCTTTTTGTAGATGATATTATATTAGTGGGCGAGACTAGAGAATAAGTGAATACTAAGTTGGAGACTTTGAAAGAAACACTTGAATGTAACGGATTTTGGATAAGCAAAACTAAGGCAGAGTACATAGAATGTAATTTTAGTAAAAGTAACAATGGAAGCAGAGTAGAAGTGAAAATTGAGAACCAAGAACTGCGTAAGAGTGAACATTTTCATTATTTAGGATCGATTATCACAAAGATTGGAAAGATTGGAGCGGATGTAGTCTATAGAATTAAGACAGGATGGCTTAAGTGGAGGAGTGTGTTTGGGGTACTGTGCAATAAACGAGTACTCGATAGGCTAAAAGGAAAGTTCTATAGAACGGCTATTAGACCAGCAATGTTGTATGGGACGGGATATTGAGCAACTAAGAAACAATATGTAGATAAGATGAGTGTTGCTGAGATGATAATACTAAGGTGGACGTGTGACAAGACTTAAAAAGATAGAGTTAGGAATGAGTATATTCGAGAATAGGTAGGAATAGTGCTGATAGAAGATAAGTTCAGAGATAACAGATTGAGATGATTTGGTCATACACAACAGAAACCAACAGAGACAGTAGTGAAGAGATGAGATATAGTGATGGTAGACGAAATTGTTAGGAGAAAAAGACAGACCTAAATTGACGTGGGTTAGTGTAGTAAAGAGAGATACAAACCTCTTTAATTTGACTAATGCAATGGCCTTTAATAGAGTCGAATGGAAAAGAAAAATTCATATAGCCGATCATATTTGATGGGACTTAAAATTTGATATAATTTAAATTAGTAACACTTGTAGTAAATATTTTTTTAAGCCTTAAGAGAGGTCAATAGAATTTTTTTCCCTCCGGACAATAGATATATTGCATTAGATAGAAAATGAAAGCATTCAACCATCAGAACACACCATGGACAAACAACCAAGAAGGGTGCACATATCATCTGAGTCACATAGTTACACACTAAAATACTCTTTCCGTTACAAGTGAAACGGCAACTCATAAGCAAAGACGAATCTACATTAGGGACTAGGGGGCACTTGCTCCCATTTTATTTAAAATTACACTTTCACCTTTAATTAGAATTTTTTTTTTCATTTAACTCTTTTTTGATTTTCAAATATATTTCCAAATCTTTATATCTCTATTCTTTTCTTTTTAAAAAAAAAATTCCTTTCAATTTGCGACTATAAATGTTTATTTATATCAAAACATTCTCTTATATTTATTTATATCTCTATCATTACTCTGTTATTTTTCTCCACAATTATCTTTTTTATATTATTTTTGTATGCATGTGATTGCATTTTAAATTTTGATTATCATCATATGTAGTAACTAAAATAGTAAATAAAAAAATTATCAATTAATTAAAACATAACTAAGACATAATTTTGACATCATGTTAATTTCTAGATATTCTATCACCAAATGAAAATTGAATATGATTAAGTTTTATAATTAATATCGCTAAGGATTAAATTTAACGGTGCCCCATGAATCAAAATCCTATCTCCATCACTACTCATAAGCACCTATATTCTGAGCCTAGTATTATGAGCCCACCATACGAAACCAATCACCCTGCCAAAGTCTTCATCATTTGCACAACATCCCGGATCTTAACCACAATAGTTTGATCCACCCCCTTTTCCTGCTGCACCATGGTCACAATTGGTTGACAATAGTCCTCTACAAACACAGTTCTGAAACCAAACTCTGTTGCCATCCTAACGGCCACCATTGCAGCTTCCCAATTTAGCTCACCTTTTATTGTACACACCATCAAAATTAACATTGACCATGGCCTCAGAGGCTTGTTCTTGCCTACGAATTAGTTGATAGTTATCACATAATTTTATGAGCAATTAATGATTCTAAACTATTTGATATTTTTGTCTAAATACACAAAAAAGAGAAGAATTTTTGTTTGAAAACACTACCAAACAGGTCCGAATAACAAGCTTAGCAATATGTGCAAATTCAAATGAAAAACTTGGAAGAAAGAAAAAGGGCCCCTAAATTATTAACAGAAAAGTACAGGAATATGGAAACCAAAAGAAGCATAACAGAGGATTGAAAGTTCAAGCCTCAACAAGAAACAACCACAATGCTGATTTGCTTGCAAATGCATACAGAACAACCAAACACAAAACCAACGGTCATGTAATAATTGCCAACTTCCCATTCTTATGCTCAGCCAAAATCTGCAACAACAAAAGATAGGTGTCACATATAACCTCAACTATAAAATAGGTACTGTTCTCAGGGATCATTAGATATACATATATAATAAAGTCATAAAAGTTTTTTTTTTTTAATCAAAAAAAAAAGGAAAGATTGAAGCGGATGTAGTCTATAGAATTAAGACAGGATGGCTTAAGTGGAGGAGTGTGTTTGGGGTACTGTGCAATAAACGAGTACTCGCTAGGCTAAAAGGAAAGTTCTATAGAACGGCTATTAGACCAGCAATGTTGTATGTGACGGGATATTGAGCAACTAAGAAACAATATGTAGATAAGATGAGTGTTGCTGAGATGATGATACTAAGGTGGACGTGTGACAAGACTTAAAAAGATAGAGTTAGGAATGAGTATATTCGAGAATAGGTAGGAATAATGCTGATAGAAGATAAGTTCAGAGATAACAGATTTAGATGGTTTTGTCATATATAACAGAAATCAACAGAGACAGTAGTGAAGAGATGAGATGTAATGACTGTAACGACCCTCACTCTACTCTAGTTATGCTTGCATATATTACATGATCTTGTCTTGATATGTTGCATTTTTGCAAACCTTGATTTGATTTGCTTAAAAGTTTCTTGCATGTTTTGTACCCCGCTTGGTGTGAGTTTAGCCGAGGTCATCTTTAGCCTAGAACTTCCTTGGAACCACTTATCAGATAATGAGGAATTTCAGATTTTCAGTGATGCTTCACATAAGGGTTTGGGTTGTGTATTAATGCAAGGGGGCAAAGTCATAGCATATGCATCTCGTCA